ATTATAGAAGTCAAACATGCCTTGGCTGTCGAAGAAAGAGGGTTATTGATTCATTTGCCCCCTCCCCTCCTCCCCACCCTTCATTTGGAAGTTCTGGACTTTATGAGGGCTATATGATATAATATCTGCCTACAGGGATTGGCATCTACCTGATAGGCAGGTATTATTCAGTTCAAGAAAAATGTTTCACAATGACATGATTTAAAATAATTCAGACACTTCCATATTTTAATTTACATATTTTATAGTAGTAAAAATTTACAATCCAATCTCTAATGACATTTTATCATCTGCAGTGAATCATTATGTATTAGTCACAATAAACTATAATATTATCAAGACTGAATAATAAAATGATCAGGACTGTAGCTAACATTTATTAGTGTACCAAATAAAAGTAAATCTAAATTATAAAAAGAAAAAACTTAAACCAATGACAAAGGGAATGTCTGCAGCAAACTGAAGAGCAACATTATGTAACATCCTCAATTTAGTTATGATAACATAGCCCCAAAAGATGAAGATAATTCCACTGAATTATTAAAGTGATAATGTAAACAATATTTGAAAGTCATACAACTTCTCAAATGAAACCAGTAAGCACATGAATCATTGCTCTTTGTGACCTAGGGCCTCATCTCCTTATCCTAAAAGAAACCTGTTATTTCTTACAGATGGGCATGAAATTTACCTGCAGATTGATACCACCATTTACTGGCAGTTTATGAAGCCTGACATCCAGTTATGCTTAAAGTTTTACTTCCTCACACGCTCATGCTCTCTCTCTCTCTCTCTCTCTGCAGCTATTTGTAGTTACAGTTTGGGCATGAAATAGTTACCTAGTTTCCCACACATAACCAGTCCACTGGTGTTCGGTATCAGATCCTTCTTCCCCCTTCTTGCGGGAAAGGCACTACAAAGCCACTGAACACACTGCAGCAGTAATTATCTCCCCATACACGGAAGGCGTGAAAGCAACTTCCCAAAGTGACATACAATTCCATGAACGTTTATGTCCTGGAATAACCCTAGAATAACCTCTATCTTATCTTCCAGTTAATAATGAAGATATGACTTCATTATTATGATTCCATTTTAGAATTAAGCAAATTAGGGATTTACCTCTCGACTGAAATAGGAAAAAAACATGAGAGCATTCTCAAAATATCTTAATATTTCGAAGCAGTCCGGTGAGACTGGACTTAAATGATTCACATCATCCAGGATACGAAAATTCTCTATTTAAATCAATTCTTGGCCAACAACAAGGAAATAATTCAATTTTAAAATTGGCAATAACTGGATTTTTTAATTAAATGAATGTAAAAGTTTTAAATTTATTTTCCCAATTTGTATAGAGAAGGAAAAAAACTGCAATTCTGACTTAATATAGACTTAATTCAAATACTCAAGGTCAAACAATTACTAAAGTTTTTATTAAACTGAGTTGGAAAGTAGTTTTTTTAAGTCAAAATATATGAGAATTAGATTTGGCTTATTTAGCTTGTAAACGCAGCACTAACATCCCCCCCCATGAATGCCGGCTGCTCCTACTTTCTGCTTGCCTTCTCTTATGTTTACCATCACTACTACTCTGCCCCACTACCTCCCTTCAAAACCAGCATAGGTAAGAATTAAGATAACTGGACACTTAGTTTCACAATTTACAATCTTCAGTGTTAACATACAATACTCAAAATGCTGCACCTTCTCCTTATATAATAGTGGGGGTTGGTGAGGGGATATACTTTGGTCAAAACACAGTTTATGTTACTGGTTGTGAATGATTACCAGTTTTGAAACTTCTCTTCAAATATCTACAACAACTAGAATATATTTCTAACTGAAAGCCTACCTTTACCTGAAGCAGGTAAAACTATTTGCACAGACCATCATATATATACATTATCTATACACTTGAACCAGTTATTTCAATTTCTAATGTAGCAGAGAAACAACGTGCTTTTCACATCAAATCAAATAAGCAGGTGCTAAACTCTGCTGTAATGTGATATTGTTACATAACAAGTTTCCTGTTGGCATCTATAAACACCTCGCAATATCCTATACAGTGTTACTAACTCTACAGTTAAATCTCTAAATTAGAAGATCTACAGATTAAGGATATACCTGAAAAACAATGTAGCAGGCAAAAGACACACAACCTTTCCCAGTGCAAAGTTTTTTGTTTTGTTTTTTTCTTCTATTTTTCCTTTCTGTTGGGTCTTTAACTAAAAGGTATCATCTTATACTTTTCAATGCATTTGATCCACACAAAGTAGGTATTGGAAGATAGCCGAGACAATCAACTTATTATTTTCCTGAATCTGATACAAAAATAACCAAGGGTGGAGAGGTTTATAGTAAACTCAACCTCCAAAACACACCGTGTCAAACAAAGGCACACATAGTACGCTTTTCAACACCCAGAAACCTTATTTTGGACATCAGTTGTTCTCATTTTCATGTTACCATTTCCATAACTGCTTCAGAGGCACCAGAAAAGAAGATACTTCTATAACAATATACTACATTCAAAAAGAGAAGCAGTCTTCTACTTCCCCATTCTAGAAAAGCACCGTCAAAAATTTGCTTTTCTGCATTAAAGAAAATAAAATTTGACCAAAAATGTATATGAATCATTACTGAATTTATACATAATTACCATTCTTTAAAAGTTGGAGGGCTGTATTTATTTTTTTTTCAGTCAAACTCAGTAACAAAAAGAACTGCGACCTCAACTAATAAATTGCATCTTGAAATATACATGATTGTGTTGTCCCCGTGTTACTTCCAATGGTAACTGACACACCCCGAATTTAACTGTACCAGACAGTTCTATCTGTCCCATCGCTGACCAAACACTGCTTCTCTGTTTCTATTCATTATGTATTATAAGAGGTCTAAACACAACCCAGCATGACGAGAAAAAAATTACAATTCTTATGACAGCAAAGTGATGCATTCAAGTTCTCTCTTGCAGTACATCCCTATCTGTGAGCATTAACAGGCATTTTTGATAGAGCTAAAATGCGTTGGCTGCAAGCTCATTACTCTAAGAACCTTGGGCACCTTTCCTGCAGGTTTTCAGAAAACACTCGTAAAAACCAGGCACTATTCAAACCTTGCAAACCAAACTTGCCAAGAACCTTGTGCAATGATCAGTAACCTTGGCTACACCACCATCCGCCTCAAATTCACGGTCCTGGAGACCAATGCAGCAAAACCGAGGCTAGAGGCTAGCTAAAGCCCAACAGAACTGCCGCGCTTCTCCTCCGCCGCCCTTTCTGCCGCATGGAGAGAAGCAAGGGGAGAAGAGGAGTAGAGCTAAGCTCACCAGCTCTGAAGATGCTCCGGTGACCTCTGGCTGCGCGGCGAGAGCTGGGCCGGGAAGGCGCTAGTGCAGCCGCGGCGGGCCGTGTGGACTATGCCCCTGGTGCATTCCTCGCATTCCTGCACAATCTGTCGCCAGCCGAGGAGCCCGCGGCGCGCTCCCCCCCGCCCCCGGACACACACACCTGCCTATTTGCTGCGCCCCGAGCGGCCACGGCCGCCGCGGCGCCTCCACTGCTCGCGCTCCCTGTTTGTCGCACTCAGCCAACACGCAGCCAAATCCCGGCCCCGCCGCTCAACCCCTCGCTTCCCGGGTAGGGGGAAACGGGGAGAGAGCGAGGCAGCCCCAGCGGTGGGGGGTGCCGCAGCTCCGCTTCAACTCCTGGCAGGGTGAGAGGGAAGCCGCGGCGCAGGAGGGCAGCCGGGGAAGCTCCGGGCTGGGGAACCGGGAGGGGTGGAGCGTGAGGATACGCCGCGAAGAGCGAGGGGCGCACTGGCCAGAGGGGGGTGGGCAGGACCCGCGGGAGCGCGGGACTCCGGGGGCAAATGCGAGGCGGTCGCATGCAACAGGGGCGTGGGAGGAAGGAAAGGGGCCAGGATGCAGGAGCTGGAGGGACGGACAGACCGCCCCGAGGGCTGGGGACGGCGGGAGCCCCACGGTGTTGGGGGCGCGGGGCGGCGTGCCAGGCGGACGGGAGCGGGGGAGCCTCGGGGCAGACGTCCGGGAGGGCTCGGCGTGGCGCTGAAGTTCGGGGTTGGGGGCTCTGGATCCAAAAAAGCCAACGTGGGGAGGGTCCTGCGCGGCGTGCAGGGAAGACCCGGGGAGAGTAATAGCCGGGAAAAGCAAATGGAGGGTGAAACTTGTGCGCCTGCCGGGGGGAGGGGAGCAGGCAGGCGAGTGCGGGCAGGAACACGAGGCGGGGCAGGAAAGCCGAGGCGGCCGCGAGGCGGTGGGGACGGAGTAACGGGAGGGAGGCGCCCGTCCCCCACGCGCCCCTCACGGGCAGGTCCGGGCTCGGGCGCGAGAGGGCGAGGGCCGGAGGTCTCGGGAGCAGGAGTCTTCGCGCCCTCCCGCGAGCTCGCACACTTACTTTCCAGGTTAGGCTGCGCCCGTCGTCGCTCGGGGGATCAGGGACATCTGCGCCGAGGGGTCGCCGCTGCGGCACCCGAAAAAATTAAAAAAGTGCCGCGGCCAAGCGGCTGCCCGCCCCTCCCTCCCCC